CAGCAGCTGCAGGAACTCGTTTGCACCTTCCACAGGCTCCAGAGAAAAACATGGAAGTGGCATAGAGATGGGTTAAATAGATGAACATACAGACAAGAATGAGAAAAATGGATCGTGTTCGTTGTGGGCTTCAGCACTGAAACTACACCGAAACATCCAACACCATGTGGATAAGGAGAAAAGGAGAGGTTGTGATTGGGGTAAACTGTGTTACTGTCTTTTCCAAATTTTATTTGAGTGTTGTCCAAAAAACCCCCACGTTTGACCTCAAAATGTATGCTGCTGAATGTAAAACACAGTCCAACACACTTCAGTTGCTGCCAATGTCATTTTAGTCACATTTTCTATTAGTTACAATTTTTGACCTCAGCCACTGTTTGTAGATTAGGTGAGGAAAGCTCAAACTGGATATGTGAGGGCTGCAGGTGCAGCGTTAGAGATCTGACTGGTAGAATTAGGATGGGAGTGACCGGGCTCACCTGGCTATTGTCATTGCCCATTATATCTCCCAGTTCATCTGAAAATGATATGGGGGGAGAGGATTGTGCGTAACTCAATGAGCTATGCACACTTGTGTTATCCTAGACACACAGACACACTGATTAGATGAAAAATATGAGCAGAAAAAAAAAAAACAGAGTTTGACTGACCATGACAGCACATGAACATGAGCCACAAACACACACACAAACATCTTACCAGGCTGCGAGGCGGTGATGTCTGTGTGCATTGCTCTGTATCTTCGACTCTCTTCTTTTCTCGCTGATCTAGAGTCTGAGAGACATAATGGAAAAGATTAAAAGTCCATTTCTCACCTTTCCCATGATATATATGGAGGCTCGTATTAAACAGGATTAAAAAATTTAAAAAAAGAAGACCTTTTTTAAAATCTTTGCTCTGTATGTTGTCATATGAGCGGATATCCCTAATATGTTAATCTCTGGCTATTATACAAAAAAATCCCACCCACCTATTACCCAAGCATTTCGTTACTGAGGAACAGCCAATCAAAAGAAAGCTAGCTTAAAGGGGGGATGAGCTAAAACAGTTTGTTTCTGTACTGAGGGGCCACACAAAGACCCGTGTGAGTAAGGATTGCCTTATATACATCTACAGGACACACAGATTTGGTGCATGTCTGCTTGCCTTTGTATATTTGAAAGTAGGTAAATGGAAACATGACTAATAATTATCAATTTCCAGCTAGCCAACCTGTGGTCCGTCCACTGGTCCATTCCTGGCTGTCCGTAGCTGCAGGTTTTCAGTCTGGCTGGAGCTGCAGCAGTGATTAGACGAGGTGTTGGAGGAGCCAGGTCCGTTCACCATGCTCTGTAAGGAGTGGTTCTCCTGGGCCAGCCTCTCCACCAGGGACCTTGCTTCTTGGAAGCGACAGCTGAGAAACTCTCGTTCCTCTTTTGTCCTTCGTTGCCATCCCTCCATCTCCTCACAGCGCTGACGCAAGGCCAGGTTGCTCCGCCGCAGCGCCTCTGTGGGAACAGAATGAGGTGGTAAAAGGAGATGGGGGAGACTAATATGTACTAAATACAGTCATGTGAAAAAGAATCATTTCACAGGCTCTGCAAAGTCCTGTAAAAGACAAATCTGTGAAACTGTGATTCAGTAGCTTGCAGAAATACCTGTACCTGACTATCAGTCTCTCACACGATTGTGGAGGATATTTCACTGATTCCTCTTTGCTCCACTTCACTTAGTTGTACACTTGTTTAAGCACAGCTCTCTTGTAGTCCTAACACATCATTTCAGGCAGGCTGATGTCTGGACTTTCGGCCACTGCAACACTTTGATTCTTCTGAGGTTTTTTAGTGTAGATTTGGCGATGTGGTTGAGATCACTGTCCCATTGTTGCATGACCCCACTTTACGCTAAGCTTTAGCTGTCAGATAGAGAGCCTCAGCTTTGACTCTATAATACTTTCACCAAATATGCCACTGTGCATTATAACCAAACACAATCTCCACTTTGCTCTTATCTATCCAAGGACATTGTTTCAGAGTTCCTGTGATTTGTTCAGAGGCAACTTTGCAAAGCTAAGCTATGCTCCCATCTTTTTTTTAGCGAGAGGAAGTTTTCTCCTGGGAACCATTCCAGTACAGCCATACTCCTTTAGTCCTTTTCTAATTGTCAATCCATGAATTTAAACATGCTAATTGAAGCCGGTGGAGTCTGAGAAGTAGCTTTCAGGGTTTTTGTAACCTCCCTTAGCATTGCATGCACTGACCTTGGGGTAAATTTGATAGGACACTCCTGTGTTAACATGCACCTGAAAACCAGCAACCTTAAATTTTTTTAGAAATGGTCACACCTGCTGTAAGGGTGTACTTTCTGTGTGTGAAAATTATGCTTTTCACACGACTGCGTGTTAATGATATTACTGAGTAACTGAATTAGTTTGCTGATGGTTTCCTTGAATTAATGTTAATAAATATAATTTGCTTAACTGAAACACTGTTCCACTGACACATCAAATCTAATTATACTTTTACAAACTCTTGCTCAGTTCTTGGAAATGCACTCAGATATGACTTTTATTTTTATGACACCCTTTCCTAACTGACTAACAACAATAGCTGATGTCAACATGAGCATAGAGTAGGGCTGCTCGATTATGGCAAAAATGATAATCACGATTATTTTCACTGAAATTGAGATCTCGATTATTTGACGATATTTATTTAAC